CAGCTTAATCTCTTCCCCTCTGGATCCAGGGACAGAGCAAGTTTGAAGTACAAGTCTCTCACCCCAGCACTTCATCTGAAGGTGTGTCTAACCCTGAGTTGCATGTGGTAGTAAGTGATGGAGGGAGAGAGTTAGGGTCTCTGTCCTTAGGAAGCTCACCCACTGTCTGATGAACTAGTTGTATATCAATGACTCATCATATTTGTCACTGATGTCTTAAGCAAATAAATATGCAAACGCATTCATAAAGGTGCACCGTGGGCTTCTGCGGATGAACAAGCTGCAAAGCTGGACCAGGACGGAGAAACAAATTTCATTCATCAAGGCTCCCCAGAGAAACAGAAGCAGTAGGATAAACAACGGAGACACGTACAACCACTCTGAACCCACGTAAACATTCTGTTTTTCATCTTTAGTACAGTATTCAATAAATCATATGAGCTATTCAATGCCTTATTTTAAAATAGGTTTTGTGTTGGATGATTCTGACTGCCTTGTAGGCTAATGTAAGTGTTCTGAGCACGTGTAAGGCAGGCTAGGCGAAGCTCTGATCTTCAGTCTCTTAGGTGTATTAATGAATTTCAACTTGGAACATTTTCGCCTAACGATGGGTTCGTCGGAACACGACCCCAGTGCAAGCTGAGGCAGATCTGCACTGTGGAGCTCAATTTGCTAATTATTTGTTGAGGACTTTTGCCTCTATGTTCATCAAGGATGTTGATCTGTAATTTTCTTTTCTTGTAGTGTCCTTTTCTGGCTTTGGTATTAGGGTGCTGCTGGCCTTGTAACGTGAGTTTGGAAGTGTTTCTTCCTCTCCTAATTTTTTGAAAGAGTTTGAGAAAGACTGCTATTTGTTCTTCTTTAAATGATTGTTAGAATTCACTCTTGAAGCCAACTAGCCCTAGACTTCTCTTTGTTGGAAGGGTTTTGATTACTGATTCAGTCTCCTTGCTAGTAACTGATCTGTTCAGATTCTCAGTTTCTTCATGATTCAGTCTTGGTAGATCGTGTGTTTCTAGGAATCCATCCATTTCTTCTGTGTTGTCCAGTATGCGGTCTTATAATTGTTCATTGTAGTCTCTGATGAGCCTTTTGCATTTTGTGGTGTCAGTTGTAATGTTTCTCCTTTCATTTATAATTTTACTTATTTGAGTCTTCTTTCTTTTTTGTCTTCGTAAATCTAGCTGAAGATTAGTCTATTTTGATACCCCCCCCCAAAAAAAAGCCCTTAGTTTCATCGATCTTTCATCTTGTCTTCCTAATCTCTATTTTATTCATTTCTGCTCGGATCTTTATCACTAAATTCCTTCTAATGATTTTAGGCTTAGTTTAATTCTTTTTTTTTTTTTAGTTTCTCTAGGTGTAAAGTTAGGATTGTTTATTTGAGATCTTTTTTTTTTTTTTTAATGTAGGCATTTGTTGACTTGTAGGAGTTGCTCAGTTAGCTTCGGGATCTCCTTCAGAGAGAATTTCTCCATGGATACGTTTGGTGCATCCAAGGGAGGAAAGGAGCTCAGGAGGCTCCTGTGTTGCCACGTCTCCTCCTCTGTCTGTGTGAATCTCTGTGTCTGTCTGTCTCTCTTTCCCGTGGCTCTGCTTCATATCATCTCTTGACCACTACCCTCACATCGCCCTTTCTATCCCTGTCCCTTTTAACCTACCTGTCACAATGTCAACTCTCTTTTCTTTTTCTACATATATCCACATTACTCCTTGGGAGCTCTTCTTCCTATCAGTCTGGGAACATTTCTCCCAACAGTTCTGATCTGGTGAGCGGAGAGGGAAGGCAGTTGCTCCCCTCCAGCTCAGAGAATTCCTGAGGAAGTCCTTTAAACTGTCCTGGCATGTCCTGGTCACTATAGCCAATATGTCTCATGGTCACGCTGGATCATGCACCAGGCTGGGGGTTCAGAGGGATAGGCCACTGTAATTGACTACCCTGGACAAAGCACATGGCTTGAGTTGGATAGAACAGTTCTGCAAAAGACAGAGGAGTTATAGGGGTACTAAGCCAGTGACGACCACAAGTGTCCACTCTTGGGAGCCAAGACCAACTTAAGAGAAACAAACACACAACTTAATAAAAATACAAATGCTGAACTTCCTGGAGGACCTGATTCTTGGTTTTGATCTTAAAAGATGTACACAATTTTAGATAGGTAGAAGAGAGTGAGCAATCCTGGAAGAGGGAGAAGTTTCTGTGCATTTTTTATGGTGTCATTTGCCTTGTTTTAAGCTCCTAAGAGGCAAGGACCTTTCTTTTGTTACAGAACATGGTGCTCGATGACCACAGTCAGACTTAGTCATTACAGTTCCAGTTCTATCCATCCTTCCCTGCTGTTGACCTAGGATAGAAGATTAATGCCTGAGAAGCTTCTAATCCTGAGAATATCAACTTGCTCATAAAGAAACAGGGAGGCTGTGGAACAGAGAAGGTGTTCTTATTGCCCCTCTGGTGCTCTCAGCCCTGTGTGTCTGACCTCAAGTGAGTTTCACACTGGAATTTTGTCATTGTCATGGGTAGATTGGGTCGTTCATTAATTCAGTGAACACATCAGTGATACCTAATATATACTAGGCATGTAGATGCCAAGGATTTAATGATAAATAGTCAGGATCCTACTTCTTAAAAGTTCATTTCCAAGATGAAGAAGTGTAATTACATGAGGGACGTGACTGAGTCATGCAGAACTGTGGTTCTAAGACAGCTGTGTGTGAAAATCACCTGGGAGCTTTAAAAAAAATACTGGTGTCCTCATCCTATCCCCAAAGGTTTTGATTGCATTGATTTGGGGAGGGGACCCAGGCATCCAGATATTTCAAAGCTCCCCCAGTGACTCTCATGACCCACCAGGGTAGGGATGCATGGAAGCAGATAAAAGGTTCTCTGGTGAGATGAAGGATGGAGGGGCTGCTGGAGGGCTGAGGCCACCTGAGCATTAAAGGAAGGGTAAGAGCTGGAAAAGAAAAGGGGCAGGGGGCAGTTGGATATAAAGGACATTGCAGACAGAAGGGAGAAGAGCCAAGAAGGCTGGGAGCTGCTCTAGATGGAAAAGTAAGCAAGTCTCTCTAGTTCTGGCCTAGTCCCTGGATCATCTTGGACAAATATCCATTTCTCTGTGCCTTGGTTTCTCATTCAGTCAAGTATAACTAATGGTCCCTCCTTACCTTAGGTGTTTGCCCTTAGGATTAATTGAGGTGATGAAAAATTTAAAGGTAGTATGTCAGTGTTCATTGAGAAAAAGTAAAACATTAAAGTAAAGCCTCTTTTATTTAACATCTTTGGGGAAACAAATATTTTATATAAATGAGCTTTTTAAGTAACTGAGGTTCAGCCATTCAAAACAATGATCATGAACGAATAAAAATCATCTTATTTTTCCTAACATATGTCATTTGCAGCTCTAGTTTCTTAAACAGAGGAAACTGTCATTAGACCCCCAGCTTGCTGTTTTCTCTGCCTTTCGTCCCTCAGCGTAGGTGTCAGATGCTGAACTGTGCTCTCGTGCAGTAATGGCCTCAGGACCAGAAGTGCAGTAGATTTCCTGTGTGGATGGTTGGGGCTTGCGCTGTCATATGTTTTCTGTTTCTCTTGCTATCTGGGTATGAGCTGTTGATTCTCACCATTTTAAATTCTACTTTTCCTTTCTAACTTGCTGCCTCTTCCCTGTTGAGGACTGAAACACCAGAAGATGAAGCTTAGAATGAGATTTAAAATAAGAGTAAAAAGGCTGTGAGTCCAGAGTCGCTGGAGAGAATGGGTTGTGTGATGTCTTCCGCGCATGAATGTTTTGATGCCTGGGCTGCCTTGCACAGTGGACTCTGAGCCACTCTGGCCTGGAGACCTCATGCCCGAGACCGCTGCCTGGGCTTTGTGTGTGCGAGGCTGGGGGCTCCCAAGGGTAAGTTTGTGCAGATTCTCAGCCCCCTTTTCTCTGGCTGTTGGCCATAGACCTTTAGGGTTTCCCACCCTTACCACCTGGAGAATGGTGTTCTTGTCAGATCAGATTTTGAGTGTTTGTCAGCAAATGTTTTATTGTTCATGAAGCGAAAGGTAAAAAAAAAAAAAAGAGCAGACAGGATCAAACTCTGGAAGACAAGAGTGCCTGGAAGCACACAGCCAGAGAGGAGGCTACATCACCTTCCCCAGGGGGCAGAATGTGGTAGGGAATAGCACACCCCAGATGGGAGAGTGGGGGGAAGGACGTGGTGGAAGCAGTCAGGTGTCACAAGACTGCAGAGGTGGAGGACCATGGGGATGAGAGAACTTGGAAGGTGCGAGGTGGTGAATGGTCAGGGACAGAGGTTTAGACCAGCTTTTATTTTTTAATTGAAGTATAGTCAGTTTATAATGTTTTAATTTCTGTGTGCAGCATGGTGTTTAGTCATACCTATATTCATTTTCATCATAGGTTACTACAAGATATTGAGTATAGTTCTCTGTGCTGTACAGTATAAACTTGTTGTTTATCTATTTTATATATAGTAGTTAGTATCCGCAAATCTCCAGCTCCCAATTTATCCCTTCCCACTCTTCCCCCCAACCCCCGTAACCATACGTTGTTTTCTATGTCCCTGAGTCTGTTTCTGTTTTGTTTTGTTTATATGTGGGGTTTTTTGTTTTGTTTTTTAGATTCCACATATGAGTGATATCATATGGTATTTTTCTTTCTCTTTCTGGCTTGCTTCACTTAGAATGACCAGCTTTACAATGGAGTATATTGCTCTGTAGCCTTTTCTTTTTTTTTTTTTTTTTTTTGAGAGTTACCCACTCACTGACACCACTCCAAGACACATGAGGTGTGACCACTACAGGTGACAGCTGCTAGAGGCAGCCACACTGCAGGGGCTGAGAGTTGCCATATTCGGTGGGTCCCCACAGTGCAGGGCAGGCCCTCTTGAGAAGGCGGCTTCCTGAGTAACCACTCTGGCTGCTTCCCCACTTTGTGGTCTGCCGTCCTTGTGGTCGCTGAGCTTCTGTCTCTCCTTTCCTTCCCCAGGTCGGTGGCTGGACTGGATAAGGAGGCGGACCTGGTACACATGGAGGTGCGGACGGCAGATGGATGTGAGTGCTGTGGCCACCAGGCCAGGCCCAGGGAGATCTGCCTGCAGGTCTCCCTCCCTCCCCAATTTGCATTTTAATGGCTTGGGAAGATGAAAAGCTCTGAGCTCCATTACTGCCATATCCATCTTTATTTCCTAGAGTGGAGGAGAGGCCTCCAGTCCCAAAGGAGATGTTTCACTGAAATAAACCCTCAGGAATGAATTTTCCTGGGGATGTGAGTTAATGTGATGAATTTTGAAGCCCCTGTTAGTAATTTCCTGGCATCTTCAGTATAATTCGAATAGGGATGTCCATAGCTCATCATGGTATTTTGCATTCACTCGGTGAACTGCAGGGACTGCCAGCTTTAAAAAAATAAGAGTTTATATAGTCAAGCTTACAAAAAAAAAGTAACACTGGGCAAATTATTTGCAAAACTGTTTATTCATTATTCAGCAAATATTTAGGAACGGCTTACTATGTACCAGGCGAGAGTCTCAGCCCCGGAGACAGAGTGGTGAAGACCTCTCTTGTCCCTGCAAACAAGCAGTGGAATCCAAGAGTTCAAACACTTGTGACCCCTTTGGACATTGTGCACCCATCTACATCTTAAACAGAACTGGACGGATAAAGTATCATTTTGCACCAACTTAAGTAGTTACAAGGCTCTTCCCTGTCCAAGTAAAAGGAAATCAACTTAAAATATATTAAGCATGTGAAAAAGACATAAAATATATGAAAATATAGTTAGCATATTTTAGATCAAAAATAGAGCCAAATAATCCATAGAAATGATAGTGACCTACTAGTGCCGCAGAACAAAGCACCTGACTGGGAGTTGAGGTCCTGGATCCTAGCTGGGGGACCATAAGACCCCCTGACCTCTCTGTGCTCTGGCTTCTTATGAGCTGAGCATACTCATCCTTACCCTGCCCACGTCCTAGGGTTATGGGTTGAATGTACAAATGTAAGGAGATTCTGTTTGACCTGGATGTGGGTGTTGGGTTATCATTCAGAATACATCAAGTAAAGCCACATGTGCTTTGTCGATGAGAAGGCTACTGCTTTTGAGGCCAAGCACAGATGCATGCTAGAAACATGCACTTTGGGAAATATGTTTTATTTGCTTGATTTTTATTTTTAAAAGAGTTAGAAGACCATCAACACTTGTTACTATATGCCTGGAGCTGGGCTGAGTCTTTCCTTCCTTCCTTCCTTTCTTTGAGTTTTGAATAAATGTAATTATCTGAAGCATACAGGGATGAAGGATGACCCATACTCTTTTTACATTTTTTTTAACAGAAAAGCTATTTAAGATTTAGGGAGATAATGTCACATATTCAGATGCACTGATCATAAGCGTGGTGAAGCCTGAATTCGAAATTACTCTTACTGCTGAGAAAGGAAAACCTGGCAAACTGGAGGAGGAATGAGATGGAGGGGTTTGAAGCAGATGAGCGGGAGGAGAGCAGACAGCAGCTCCAGGAGATGACCCCAGACCAGCTTTCTGGGCAACCCCTGCCTTGGCTTTGCTCCCCGTGTCAAGCTTTTTAAGCTGTTTTGTGTGACCTGTGGGGGCTGTAGTATTTCAGAGGTTGGAGGAACCTTCACAGGACTGTCTGACCTCCCATCTGGTGTAAGAATCCCTTCCCTCAAAACGTCTGACAGTGTGTCTTCAGGTTCTATGAGTTCAGGCTTAAGACATCTCCTTTTCTACTGCTGGACAGCTCCATTTTAAAAATTAAAGAGAAAAAAAAAGGTAATTTCTTACGTGAAGCCTAAACTCATTTTCTGCAAGTTTAGGAATTCTGGTCCACATCGGGATAAGGCCTATGTTGCAGGACTTGCTGTGAAATTTTATGAGATTAAAAATGCAAAACACATAGAAAAGTTCCTGGCCTATTGTCAAGGATTGAAGCAAGCAGACAGAAATATAGCAGGGGTAAATGTTCTGTACCACACTGAGGTCAAAGTATAGTATGGGTTAATTCTGTGTCATTTTTCAGGGTTTTTTGAAATCAGTTTTCCAGTAGTTCAGAGAATCTTCTTTCAACATAGTGAATTGGCTCTAACCCATCTTTATTTAGAAAGAGCACATAATAGACTGAATTAACCTGGGATGTTCTATTTTACATACTGTAAAGAAATGCACGACTCCTTTCTTCTGTGGTGTGTGGCAAATGCTTTCTTACACTGACGCGCACACACACACACACACACACACACACACACACACACATCTATATCTTTTGATCATCCGAAAATAGCATCAACCTATACTTTCTTTTCTTTTTTTTTCCTGATGTGATAGCTGAGACCCCAATTTTCCCAAATTTGCACAGCTGGCCTAGTGATAGAATTAAAAACTAGAACTCAGAACTCATAACACACTACAAATAGAAGGGGCCTTCTGATAAAGACCATCTACATTATACTTGATGGTGAGAAAATGAATGCTTTCCCTGTAAGGGCAGGAAAAAGGCAGGGGTGTTTACTCTTAAAATATTTTTTCAGCATTATGCTGAAGGTCATAGTCAGTGCAATAAAAGAAGAAAAATGAAATGCAACTCCTGTAGGTTGCAAAGGAAAAAAATAAAACTGCCACTATTCCCTTTGACATGATTGTCTACACAGAATATCACAAGGAAGCTACCACAAAAGCTCCTAGAGCAAGTATGTAAGTAAAGCAGGGTTGTAAGTTACAACAAATTCTGTGGAAAGAGGATAATTGTTTTTAGTGAATAGTGTTTGAACACATTGGGCAGTCCATGTAGAGGGGAAAATGAACTTCAACCTTTGATTTACAACTTAACATGAAATTTAACTCAGGTGGATATTTATTTCTAAATGTAAAAAATGAAATTATAAAACTTTTAGAAGAAAATACAGGAGACCTTGGATTGACACCAAGAACAAAATTGACAAAATAAAGAAGTGATAAATTGGACTCCATCAAAATTTAAAAGTTTATCCTTCAGAAGACATAATAAAGACAGTGGGAGAAAATATTTGCAGATCATATAACCAGCCGAGGACTAATAGCCAGATCATATAAAGTATTTTCAAAACATAGGAGTAAGAAAAAACACAATTTTTTCTAAATAGGGAAAAAGTTTGAATATGATATTTATGAAAGAAAATGTGAAGATGACAAGTAAGCACATTTATTTGCAATATTTGGAGTAAGTGATGCCTAGATCCTCTGAGCCCTTTTGTGACTTACATGTTTAAAAGAACAATAACAAAAATCTCTGTGAATCTTAAATCAGGAGAACTAGTGGGTCTTAGATAATTATTTTTTCTTCCTCAGACTTCCCTTCATTGTTCCACTTTTTCTGGGTTATGTTGAAGAGGCTATTCCTTAATCAGGCTGTTTCAAGACCATTTACCCTGTGTTCTAGATTTGCCAATTGCTGTTTTGAGAATTACCTTCAAAGAGGTCTTGAGTGGTAAAATTCCATTTCTCTGAGTCTTCCTGGCCGTTTCTCTCAGCCTGTCCCCTCCATGGTAATCCTCTGGTGAGCTGGTTCTGCCGCAGCGTCCTGGGAGCCACCCCAGAGGTTTGGGTTTAGATGGTCTGATACAGGACCTGGGAGTCTGTGTGTTGGTAAGCACACGTCTAGCATGATTCAGACTCAGGGACCCTGTTCAGGACCGCTGCTTTGAGGGTCCCTGACCTCAGGTGGGGCTGGAGTCGCAGCTCAGGGGCAGTTACATCCTCAGTAAGCATGAAGAAACAGCCTGGTATTGGAGGCTAGAGTTCCTCTGTTCTGAAAAACTCATGGGATTTTAGCTCCTGGGCTGTCGCAGCAATGGAAGTGAGAAGAACGTGTAAATAGAACAAATGGGTCTTTCTTTCTCTTCTAAAAAACAAAAATCAGTAAGAAGTCATAATCCGTGGTAAAATGCTCTCATGAGCAAAAAGTTTTTAGACATCTAGACTTGAGATTTCTGGAATCAAAGCCTGTTTCTTGTCCCGGTGCTGTTATCAACACTCATTCATCAGTCGCTGCGCTTCCTCACTAAGCCGAGAGAGAGCGCAGTGCTTCTTAGCCGAGCATTCTGAGTGGTCGTAAGTAATCAAATGGGCCTGGCACACAAGGTAAAATTGTTAGCCCTGCAGCCTAAACTGTAGGCTCTAGACGTGAGAATATTGGCTCTTAAGAACTTCAGGTTATTAACTAGTGCAGTGGTTGTAAACTGTGTAACTCGGAGCCCTAGCAGAACTCTAAGAACTCAGAGGCCAAGAGGAGGGTAAGGGGGCGGCTGCCATCAGTGGGACTACCAACCCCTTGACTTCTGTTCAGTTAGAGAAGGCACACTAAAATCCACTTGATATATTGCAAATTAGTATCGTCTTTGATAAAATGATCCCAGAATTTTAAAAAAATTAGTTGTAATAGATAAGAAATTTTCAAATTGCATCATTTTCCAAAAAGCACCAACATGTATAACAATTTGTTGTTACATAAACAGTCAGTGACAGGACGTGAAACAACAGGTGGATTCTGCTCTAACTGTCAGCCTGATTTTTCCTCCTGTGGTTCAGATACCTAATGGGTAGGATCACTGGTGCTGGTGTCATGTTGCCTGGCTTCAAATCCCAGCTCGGTCACCTACTAGAGGTGTGGAATTCAGGCCGATTACTTAATTGTTCTGTGCTTCAGTCTCCTCCTCTGTGAAATGGGAATAATGATAATTGTAACTCCTTACTGGGGTTGCAATAATTCTTGCAATAATCAGTTAATGCCTGTATTTCCTGTGAGACCAGACGACGAAGCAAGCATTCAAAAATGTCACTCATACTTACCTCCTCCACCACAAAAGATCTTTTAAAGAGAACAAAAATGTCACTTATTCAGAAAGAGAAAGAGAAATGCCATATGATAGCACTCATATGTGGAGTCTGTAAAAAGAAAAGAAGAAAAAGGACACTGTGAACTCATCTACAAAACAGAAACAGACTCAGATGTAGTAAACAATCTTATGGTTAATGGGGAAAGGGGATGGGAAAGGATAAA